TAAACATGTCAGATTAAAATCTTGATGTAAACTATGACTTGTTAAAACAAGTTAAAAAAAAAAAAAAGTTGCATGTGTTACCCGTCAAACCCAGCCCCTCCCCTGACTGACAAGCAGCATGTTGGATGAGATACTGTTTTGGTTTTGTTTTCCCCAAAGAAGGCAAGGTTCTTTGATTCTGAAGGAAGGAAAAATGAGAAGGATGAGAAACGTTGTCTTAAACTTAGGAGCGAGCCATGGGAACAGTTACATAAGCTGGAGATCTTGGTACAAAATTTACAGGTCTATAGTTCTAGTGGTTCCAGCTAGGTGGTTTTTAGTTTGTTGGGGTTTTTTAAGTATAGTGACAGTATGTACTGTGCTTATTTTGCTTTCAGTTCAAGGAAATCTTTCTATTATTTCTTTTTTTCTTTTTTTTTTTCCCCCTGTATCTAGGAATAGCCATTTGATTTTTGGTTATTTATTACAATTTAATTTGTTTATTCCAGGATTTTCTTTCTTGGTATCTCAGTGTCTGGTAATGTTTTCACAGATTCCTGTTTTGTTTAGAAGTCTGAAGTATTTCTTAACCATTTCTTTCAAATGTTGTACCTCCTGCATAATGGCCATATAATTAGTTTGTTGTTTAAGGATGTACTCAATAGTGTAACTCAGCTTTTATGGTACAAGTCAGATTTGTGTTGATAAACTGTTACAATTATGTTGTGCTGACTTCAAGAACCATTGCGGGAGAAGTACATGAATAATGTTGATAAGGTAGATTAATCCTGGCACCTGTGGGAGATAGGCTGACAGAAAGGGAAGTGTTTAGGTGAGTAATACTCTGCTTTCCATGTCCCTGTGAATTAACATCAGGTAGCTTTTTCATGTCTTTGCCCACATGCCTTTGATATACCCAAGGGTCAAATAACCTTTGTTCATTTCCCTGTTCATAGCAAATTTTCTTACAGAATGTGAGACAGTTCCTGTATAAAAATGAATTAAAAATAAACAAATTAGTATTTTAGACTGTCAGGTGTGAAAAATAATCATTTTCAGAGTGCAGGCAAGTGAGCTACTTCACGGAAACTGGTTTACGTGCTACTTCTACCAGATGGTAAATGTGAGGTAAATTCTCTTTGAGCAGGTCACCGAGGGAGATAATGCATAGCATAGTGTCCTCTCTTCACAGCCTGAGGAAAAATAATAATAATAGCCATTAAAATAGAGAATGAAGTGAAAAACAAACCTTGACATTGCATTCAGCTTGTTCCTTCTAGTAGTGTTGTCTGTGGGCTGGGGAAGGTTGTAGACCACTAGATTCCATCCTGCTGGTTTTGAGTGTATCATGTGGAATTCCCCCATGGAAGTAGAAGGTGTTGGTTTCCAAAACAGACAGCTTTAAGAAAGGAGATCTCTGTGGCTGAAACAAGAGATTCATAATAGAAGACAATAGAGTACGTCCTTGCAGGGATCCAGCACCATCTTTGGGATAGAATGTAATTCACATTTTTGTTTCACATCTTTCCCTGTTCTCCAATAGGTGGAAGTAAGTTGCTTGACTGAAATAAAGTTGTGTGCTTGTGTGTTTATATACACATGTACGCAGTTTACATCTTTTTGAACTTTAGTTTTGAATTTGGTGGAAGCTGTGGTCACTATTCTTCTTTCAGAAAAGAATTTCATAATCCAAGTCTAAGTCTTGTGAGAAGTGTCTAATATACCTGGAAGTCCCCTTACAGTCCACAGTTTATCTTATCTCACAGCATTCCATGCTAATAATTAAACTGTATCTGTGATGGCTGAAGCTAATCTTGAGGACTTTTCGGTATCAAGGTATACTTTTAGTTTTTGTTTCCACAGAGGACCCAGCGAAGGTTCTGCTTTCATATGGTGGGTGGGTGTTCACTATCAAATTTCCTTTCATGTGCCAGTATGAACAATTCAGGCAGATGACTGAAATATTGTTTGATACAGTAAAGATGTTCAGCTGGATAGTGTATGATGTGAACACTTCAGTTTTTATTCCTCCAGTGCTCTCCATAACCTAATATAAAGACTGAAAACGGTGAACTGTTCTTATTCAAGTTCTTAGAGTTGGGTGAACATTTCTTCTTACTGCTACTGTGAGAAAACAACTGAAAGATTTAAGTCCTGCTGAGGCCAACTAGTACAAAATTGGAATGGTACAATCCATTGATCCTTCTTAGGGTTGGTTGTTTATTACGGAGTCAAAATTAATGACTTGTATCCTCCCTCTTGTGCGGAAGGCGTGGGAGAAGGAGGAATGCTTCATGGCCCATGAACTGGGTTCATACCACATGTTATTAAAGGCCATTCTGTTGATGGAAGGTGTTTGCTGTTTGATTTTTTTTTTTTTTTTTTTTTTTTTCCCCCCCATCTCATGATACAAGTGTTTGGGTTTATGTGGCAAGATTTTGGGAACAGGGGGGCTGCAGGGGTGGCTTCTGTGAGAAGACACCAGAAGCTGCCCCGTGTCCGACAGCCAGTTCCAGCTGGCTCCGAGACGGACCCACCACTGGCCAAAGCTGAGCCCATCAGCGATGCTGGTCACACCTCTGTGATAACGTAGTTAAGAAAAGGTAAAAAAAATGCTTTCTCACACAGCAGCTGTGGGGGGAAGGCGGTTTTAGTTTTATTATTATTTCTCACTCTTCTACTCTGTTATTAATCGGCAACACATTAATTTCCCCAAGCTGAGTCCGTGTCGCCTGTGGCGGTAATTGGTGAGTGATCTCTCCCTGTCCTTACCTCCACCCACGAGCTTTTTCACTGTGTTTTCTCCCCCGTGTCCTGCTGAGGAAGGGGAGTGACAGAGCAGCTGGGTGGGCACCTGGTGGCCAGCCAAGATCGACCCACCACGGTCCAGACCTGTTCATACCTACGTGGAGATCTGCAGGAAGAATCCGGTTGTTTCACAGTATGTTTTCTGGGAGCTTCATACACTTCCACACCAGGTTCATCTTCAGTATGTAAACAGCCTCCTCTGGAACCACTTTTTCTGTCTATCTTAACCCCGAAATGTTGTTGTCCTAAAGAGAAAGAAATAGAAGATAAAGGAGAAATTTGGATGGTTTATGTTGCCACCTAAAGGCAGGTACAATAACGAGGCAGACTGCTGTATTAACCTTCTCTTCTTCCAGGCTTGTGATACTGTTTTGTGCATGTTTCTTGCAGAGAAATTTCCTTTGTCTCCTTGGAATTAGTGTGCCACAGAACTAATCATAAGAATGTGCTACCGTTTTGCTCCTTTCTTCCCCCACCCTTATTTCACACAGATGAATTAAAAGACCCTGAAGTGACATTTGCTCAAAGTGTTGGTGTCTGGGAGAGCTAGCTTATGCTGTTGGATTACTTCAGGCTAGCCAGTGCACTACCAGAGACAAAATGTAGGATGCACGTTTCTTACATTTGGCTGTGCTTTATCGGGAGGTTACAGGGCACTGTGGCAAAGTAAGTGATGCATTCCATAACGGAGTGATGGGTGAAGTAGAGTAGATGAGGGTTGTTGGGGTGGAATGAGTTTGTGAGCAGGGTCTTTGTATCATCTAACTTTTAATTCCACTTTTGTCTGAAATAGGCCAAATGTTGCTATTACTGTACTACAGAGAGCTCAAGGATACCTCAGATTCTTACATCATCCGAGGGAAGGTTGGGGAAAAATCCTTCAATGTGACTATATCAGAATAGACTTTTTTTTTTTGGTAAGGGCTTGACCCCGTTAGAAATCAGCGTATATATTTGCTTCCTGCAGGAATGGTTGCAAGTGAGTACCCTCATTTGTCATATTTTGAAAATTGTGGTGGGCAGTAGGTTCACAGGAGTGCTGGGGCGGGGGGGTTGTAAAGTGTACCTGCCTATTTCTGTCCTTTTCATACGCTGTGGATGGTCTCCAGAAGAAGACCACGGTGGCAGGGTGTCGGCCAAGTCGGTGGGATGAGGTCCCCCTCTAGTGGTGATGCCTCTGCGAGATTCCTCTGCTCAGCCAGTGGGTCTCCTTCAGCCCTGGGGGGTTTGGTTTTGGTTTTTTTTTTCTCCCCCTAAACCTCACATTTAGGTCCCCTCTGGTAACTGTGGTGAATATGTATGATCACTAGTACAGTTGTTACTATGACAAGTAATAAATTAGGTTCATTCTGGCCATCAGTGCCATGAGAAGACGGCATTGTGTTGTGTATCGCTGGTGTTAGCTCTTTAACTTGCCCATGTATTATAATGCTATGTCAAGACATGGCATAGGGAAGAATCAGAGAACTCACGTACACGGTGGAGGAGGAGAAACTTTTAATGTGTTAAATCACAGTAATGATAAGAAAAGTGGCTACAAAAGTACATGTATGAGCACTTTGAATTTTGCTACACCTGTAGTGCAATCTTAATTTGTCTGTGGCTTTGAGGTGGAGATTTTTAATGTTAATTCTTAAATTAACAAAGGGAGACAGATGGAAAAGGAAAATATGCTGACAGTGCTCCAAAAAGTACTGCTTAGCAAGCGTGTGAAACAGCAGAGTCACTTCATAACCTGTTCAAAATATTTTTCTTGCAACATCTGTACATTTTTATGGCCAGCTGCCTGGGATAGATGCACTTTCTACATGTTTTGAGTCAGCAGTTGTACATCTAGACTCCATAGTGTTGATCAGTGTCTAAATGTTGTTGTTATATGTTATTGCATCAGTAATGATGACTTTCTTGGGAATCAGCATTGGCGCTACTTTTTTCTCAATCTGGTACAAGCTGTAGTTTCAGAATGGAAAACCTTGAGTCCATGCACTATTATGTTACATTTTTTTTTCCTTATACAGAAGCAGAATTGTTTTTACTTTATTGGGCATTCTTTGTCTTCTGTTACTTGTCCTTCTGTCTGCTAAATAAATAGAAATGTCTCTTAGTGAAGAAATGCCATGCATTCTTTGTGGCATAATTGTCATGTACAAACCAGAATGCATTTGATGCCAGAGTCGGTGGAGGTCCTTGCTGCCTCTTTTTTGTTCGTGTAGCGTCACCGTCGGTAGAAGTTGCTGACTACAGTAAAAGCTTGCTGTACATCCAGGGCATTGTTCATCGATACTGGCAGATAGAGAGGGCAAGTAGTCGAGACAAGGTATGCCGCTATGCGAGATAATGACAAGTTGTAGGGCATATCGTAAAAGTATATACCACTTTATAGTTGCATGACTATATGACTGTTTTCATGACTAATATGTAGCATTTGTCTATAGAATGATGCATTTTCCTACCATTTAGGGGGAAAAATTGGGTAAAGGCTAGAATGAAGTAATTGCTTCATTAGAGAGCACTGACTATTTGGTTCTGATGGGCACAATTACATTGATAATACATCACTTGCCTTCTTTGCCAAGGCGAGTATGGGTGGGATACAGTGTTGGCAAAGGTCTGAAGTGCACTTAAATAGATATTTCAAAAGTTGTCCGAGATACAGTGCCATCAGTTTGTGGCTTCAATTATCAGTGAAGATAGACCTAGCTAATATGGAAATACAGGCTTCTTAAAAGCCTAACAAAAATATGGGTAACTTATAGTATAAAAGGTAAAGCTCCATACAGTTGTGTCCTATATAGACTTCTTTATGTATTTCCTAGCATTCTTATTTGCATAATTTTCCTGTGAAATTAGGGTTGAACTTACTATTTTTTTAGGCTCCTACAGTGAATTGCTTGAATTCTTTGTCAAATCCAATTCAGACATCTCATTTGAATACCTTGAATGGTTTCTTAGTACAAATGCAAATAGCTTCTTCAAAATAATTCCTGTCTTTTATGCAGTATGTGCTGAAGAGTACAAAAATAGGAACTTGGTGGCTGGAGTTAAGGTCGTTTGGGTGGCTTTTTTACCTTGCAATTTCTTGATTTCAGAACTCCATATCAAATATAGATATTCATTTTTTTATATATATATATATAAATATACACACACATAAAATTTCCTTCTCAACGGTGGATAGATACTTACTTGCATAATTCCAACTTTCATCTGTTGTAGGTTTGTATGTTAGAAATATCAATTTATAGTGAATTTTTCTATAATCTGAAAATTGTAAATCACTGCTTTTTAGTAAACTGCTTTCATTAAAATTCTTGGGTAAGATTTGTGATGTAGTAGTGCATATGCATATTTATTTAATGAACTGCTGTTCTGACTTAAAGGCTTAAATTGTTTAGCTCTCCTGTGAATAGTCTGCGATTTTTATTTAATAATGTATTAATAACCACTATTTAATAATGTATTAATAACTGGAAGGTAGGAAAAGTGGAGCACCTTGGTAACTTTACTGAAACAAATGTAACTATATGACTTCTAGTGTTATTCTGGTTCTTTTGACAATGCCATTTTGGTTTCTGCAGTGGCAGTGTTCTACCCTATGTATATAGGTATAGCGGCAGCGGATGGGGTCAGTTTTCACTGGCGTGATGGCAGCGTGGACCCTGACCGTGCAGTGTGCCAGTCACCGAACAAGGCTTGGAGTCTTCTGTTAAATGCTTATTTACTAGTCTGAACTTTTTGCTTCTTATTGTTCGCTCCCAGCTAAGGAAGTGCTTATTTTGTGTAGTTCCTGCCTAGCTTCCAGCATAGTAACATTTCTCGTACAAAAGCCATGTCATTGGGCCAGAATTGTGCTGACTCTGTTAAAGATCAAGATTCCATCTAATATTTTTCTAAACTGGCTTGCTTATTTTTTTGTGTTCAGTTACTTTATTTTGGAGTTTTAGCAAACTTGTTCTTGGCAGGAAAAGTTGAAGTGAAGCCAGATGTAGTTTGAAAATGTCTTGGATGTCAGAAATAATGAATGAATAGTGTATTGCATTTAAAACAAAAAGCTCGCTCCAGCACATGGCCTCTCCCCCCCATATTTGTTGATATTTGTGTCACCTATTTCATACTGGAAGTTATGGGAAATAGTCACCTCAGGTGAAACCTACCTATGCCATCTTGGCAATGGTCCATGAAATGGACTTCTGCCATCATAGATTCATTAATTTGTTACATCTCCTTTGTGTTAGATAGTATAAGCAAATTAATCAAAATTCCTTTAAGCACCAGCAAATTCCATCCCTCTGTTCATTTCCATTTCTGTAGCAAAAGCTAGTCTGTACAGTAACTTCATTATTATTAATTAACCTGAAGTATTAGTCTTCAAATTAATGAAGCAAGGGGGATGTGTAGCTTAGTGATTTGGGAAGTGTAGAGTTAAAAAAATCACAATAAGAAAGTTAAGGTCTGCCAACTAATGATTTCCATATTTTAAAAATATTTTCAGAAGTTGTGTAAAATTTTAGTTTTTTCATTATTCTTTTTCCCCGAATAATGAACCCAAGAAAGCCTTTGCAAAATATTTTTCAGGAAGTTTGAATTGTGACAGAAACAAGATACATGTGTACTGTTTTTCTCAGTAGGTTCAAAAGGTTCTGCAGTTTCGTTAAGGCTTAACCCTTGTATTTTATTCTAGAACTTAAATATCAGAGTAAACCTGAAGTATATACAGACTCATTGTAAGATGGAGTAATTTGAGGCAAAAGTACCTTCCTATAAAGTAATATCAAAATAATTACATAAACTTCAGAGGTTTCTGTACATGTTTATAAATGCTTTTAAGACACAGTATAAAATTGTTATGCAGGCTGTTTTCATTTCTGAAGGTGTGCTTGTCTGTATGGAATTTTCAGAGACAGCTGAAAGCCGCTAGGCTTTCTTCACAGCTGCATCGTGTTCAGCAGCTCACGTTCATTCTAGGATTAAATAAAAACAATCTCTTTTCTTCTTTTGCTTCCATTTGATCAGGGAAGTCTTTTTTTTTTTTTTTTTGGCAAAAATTATTTCCACTGCTTCAAAAATATGATGAGCATTCTGTATGTCAGACTCCATTCTAGTACTCTGTTTCTCAAAGACATTCAGATTTGGTATTAATGATACCTCTTATCAGTAAATTATAGTAGCAAACCTCTGCTTTTTCTATTAAATTATGTTACAATGGTATTAAATAAAACGTATAGTTTTTATTCTTTTGCCTTATACTGTGAATAGAATTATTTTTTTTATTATTTAGGAAGCAACAATAGATACAAGTGTTGAAGTGATCTTAAACTGTGATAACTAGAAAATAACAAATAATTGGCTTCCTTTTGCTGTAAGTTAATTCTTGAATTCCTTTGTTGTGTACGTAGCGTGTCCTATAACCCATGGTCCTGAGGATGACAGGAGGGAATTTGTTATCATCTGCGGGTTTTTTGTTTTGTCCTTCTTCAGATTAACAGAGTTAAAGTCCTTGAGAGCAAAGGATAGTAACAAAATAAAAAAAATTAAAAAGCATTTTACCGTCATAGTAATGTCTGTTATAGGAGCAGGGTCAGTCTAGTTGCTGTTCCTCTTTTTTTGAGGTACTAGAATTTTTCAAGGGTAAGTCAAATGTTGTGGCAACAGTCCGATTTATTCGATGTGAAGGCAAATGAGAACAGGCGTGAAGATGGAGTCAAGGTGGCGGGCTGCAGTTTTAGTAGCTTGAGAAGAAGTAATGTTTTTGTGTTCCCAGTTTTTGATCCATGTATCACTTGAGGAGGATCAGACGAAGGATGAGGTGTCACTCTCCATGTACCACCAGTGCCATGCACCTTGGTCTAAAGTTGAGCTCGCTCTTCGGGATCTTGCTGCTCCTTCCCCTTTGAAGGAGGAAACGAGCAGCGCGTAGGTGGCAACGTCACCGCAGAAAAGTGTGGTTTAAAAAAGGGAAGGTTTTCTTTGCAATCAAATTGTAAAGTATGAAGGTCCCCTGCACGTTTCAAAAAGTTATAGCGTAGCAGTGCTCTGTTAATATTTGATAATAAACATAGCTAGGAAGGAAGCAGGAGAGGGAACCAGTGGTAATTTTTTTTGGAATGCCATGTTAGTAAACAAGTGTTCTCATGATAAATAGAAAACAGTAGAGGATTAAAGCACTAAAACAGAGGAACACTGAAGAGCTTTCTCCCCCTTTGAAACAGTAATAACATTCATTCAAATAGGGAATGCTTTAGTTTGATGGCAGAAGGGAAGGAGAAGCTGAGATAATGCAGCCTCTAACTGCCATCAAAGCCGGGTAAGAGAAAGCAAAGCAGTTCAAGCGTTGCTGTTGTATAGTAACTTAGAAGTGAATAATTTTGGTTGAGGTGCTCGATGCAACCGTGCTGCTGTGTGGGTCAGCAGGACTGCATCCATAGGCCGTTGCTGTTGTCTTGGTAGAGGATGGAATAATTAAACCAACTTCTTGGAAGCAATGACGTGAAGCAAAGTGGAAGCTGATAAGGGGAATAGAGCGCGCTGAATTTCAGCTCGCATTGCAGGAGGCAGGAACAAAAATAAAAATGATAAAACCTTCCTACTGACGATAGTTTTGAACTCAAGCTGTGCCTCTGCACGGCAAACTGATGAGTCTGGAACTGCAAAGGAAGTTAAAAAGATCTTTGGGCTTCTGCCTGTTTGTTCACAAAAGCAAAAATATTGCTTTATGGCCCTAAAGGGGAGTTGGATCATCAGTGCTCTGGAAATGTATCTGCTATACTTTGGCTGTTTTTCCCTTTACGCAGAAAGTAAGCTTCAAAATAAGCTTTGAAGGATCAGGGAGGAGCCTTAAAATAGCAGCGCTGAAGAAGTGAGGAGATCATTAAGTTCTGTTTTTTCCTTGTATCCTTCCCGTCAGATATATCACTTTTTGCCTAGGTACATTCCTGTTCCTTCAACTTAAAACGGGTCACCATTCTTCAAGTCAGGTTATCCATCTGATGGTACGGGTAGGCGGCATTTGTGCGGTTTCTGATGATAAGAGATGTTTGTTCTGCAACGCTGTTTAAACATTTCTTTAAACCCAGTTAATTCAGTTGAACGCTGGCATGCATTATTATTTTATGACTCGAGCTCACATCAGTATTATGATACCTCATTTTTCATACTCCAGTAGTTAAGAAACAAAGCTCAGTAACATTTCTTCCTACTGATTTTCCTTTGTGTCTGTGTGCGTAAAATTAGAAATAAAGAATGAATAACTGGTCAAAAATCAAAAGCTTTTGTTCTGTGGTTACAAGCGCTCGCTTGGGGGATTGGAATCCATCATTGTTTTCTTGTATGTACTTATATCAAATCCATTCCTGAAGGTCTTCACCATTGTTATAGGTAACATTCTTTCATAATTGATTGAGATCTAGGAAATACAGATCAGTCTGAAGAGTTACCCAAAGAACTTTTTCTTTAATACTTGAAGAAATTAAAGATATAATCCTTGTTTGTTTTCTCTAAACACTATCATTATTTGCAGATGTCTAGCTGTGTATCGGCTAGATCTTTGGGTATATTATATGAGCTTTGGAATCTGTACTTGGTTCTTTTTGCAAGTATTTCCTCATCATATTGAGTCCTGCAAATAATTACTTTTTATTAGACCAAATAAATTTTAATTGAATGTTTGCTCTCTTATACGCAGTCTGTTCCATTTCAAGATTGTAAAGGTTAGCACTAGTTTTATTTTGCATAATAAAAACATTGGCTTAATTTGCTGTCTCACTGTAGGATTACATTTATTCATTCATTTTAATAAAGAAGCGTAGCTTTTCAAAGTATGTCTTTCTGATGGTTCAAAAAATGTACTTTCTTTTTTTCTCTTCTCAGATTTATCCAAGAATAGATTAACTGAGGTTCCTACGGAGTTGTGCCATTTTGTGTCACTGGAAACACTAAATCTATACCACAATTGTATTAAAATTATCCCAGATGCCATAGTAAACTTGCAAATGCTAACTTACTTAAATCTGAGGTAAGTTTAACTTTGCCACGTTTTTTGTTTATTTGCAAATGTGTAAAGCTTTTTTTGTCTGTACTTTATGTGTTTCTGGAACAACTCACTACATTTTTCATTTTATTGGAAGCGGTAATGCAAAAACGTATTGGCTATAGATACAGCTCTGTATGAAGGCATTGTAAGGCCAAAATGTAAAACTAATTATTTAAAGAAAGACCAAGTAATATTAATCCCTTTCTTTCCCTTATTCTTCTAGCAAATTCAGTATGCTAATCACCTCAGCACAGTCGGATTCTTGTAATTCCCTTCTGATGATAGATTTTGTGAAACTTGACATACTTTTTGTAGTTAAAAAGATGGAGGGACAGAGGATTAATGTTGGGGTTTTGTGGGGAATGGAGAGGAAAAGCGTGATACTTTATCACTAGTATCCTCTGGTTGTGCAAGAAGTATAGTTACTGCCTTTTTTTAGGAGAAAAGGGCAAAGAATTAGGCACCTCTGTCTCTTTTCAATGAAAAGTGCGTGTGAATACTAATCAGTGTAGGGAATTGCTACTGGTTAAAGTGCAGGTGAATGCATATTTGCTTTTGAGAGAGGGCATGTCAGCACTTTCCCAGTTGGGACAAGGTGTGGAGGTTTCTTTGCAGTTAAGTATGTAAAAACCGTAACAGTGAAGGTGTAATAATCTGGTCTTTGCGAGAATGAGGTTTCAGCAGGGGGCAAAGTGGCTCTTGGGCTTTTAAATTCAAGATATGAAGGCTTGTTATCAGTTTTGTAAACACTGAGGATGTTTGTCAAGCCTGCCTGTATTGTTGTTGTACTGCTGTTTTGGTCACCGTGAAACACTAATTTTGGCTCTAAAAATCGAAACAGAATAGTGTGTCCTGAGTATCTGCGCACATGTAAGGAATAGGACCTGAAATTTTGAAATAGTGTTTGTTAGATATATATAAAGAAATTAAGACTGGATTCAATTATTAAGTTTACATAAAACATCTTAGTAAATTTAGGAATTAGAATGAACTCAATTAGAACTTAATGTAGTGATGGAATTTGTGTGACTCACCACAAAACCAGAATAGTTACAGAGTTAATATCATGTATCACAGTAAATTAGACAAAATAAAAGGAAATTTTTCAGGTTTTGCTAAGTAAGGTCATTTCCCTCAGTTTAAAATCTCCTCTTCACTTGGGTGTGCCCTTCCCCCTTGTTAGTTGAACAGAGTAAGCGGTCTGTAGACAGAGGAAATACATCCTTGACTTTTTAACCGTGTTGCTTTTTGGCAAGAAAAATATTATAGATTTAAAATTCATATTTTTCTGCCCATTACCAGCAAAGCCCATATGTTAAATAGAATTAAAAAGTGCTGCCAAGAGATACACATGGTCTTTGGGCCTTGCTAGATACTGTTCATGTTTCATTTAAAGAAATTACTTTTAAACTAATGATGCTTTATTACTTACTTGCCCTGGTTATGTGTTGTTCCTTATCTCTTAGTGGGTTGCTTCTGAGTTCTGTAGAAGTTAAAAATTATTTTTACTTAATTTTTTTTTGTTTTGGTGTCTGATCTGCTTCATAGTGTAACTTTTTTAGATTCCAGGCTTCCTCAATTTGAGTTCTTTAGAACTTAAAAAATTATTTCTACTTATTTTTTAGAATAAGTTGTGTCTTGGTCTTCTGTAAAGACACTAGAATTGAGAATCCTGACTCCATAATAAGCATTGATTCTTTTTTTCAACTACTGCTCGTTAGCAGTTGGATTTCTCATTTTTAATATCCTTGGATTTGTTATTTAATACCTGTCTGTCTCCTGGCCTGTCTAACAGAGAGATGATGATGGTTTGCTTTGTAAAACGTTTTGAGACTCTTGTATTGAGCATGAATATACGTCTTTATATGCAGCTTTGTAGCAGACCATGGGATTGGCGGTTGAAGAAGAAATATTTTGAGACTTGTGGAATTTTGATTTTTTTTTTTGTTTCCTTTTGTTTCAATTCAGTGTTGCAACTCTTACCGAAATCACGCAGGACAATTTTTGCCATCTGTTTTCAGAGTTCAGTCATGCATGTTTGTTCTCCAGAGCCTTAACAGTCATGCAGAAGCTAACTAAATGGTTCTTACTGGGATGCCACTTTAAGTTACTGTTCATTGTTTTCCTACAGGTTAATACCCATAAAAAAGAAAAAGTTATATTTAAGAAAACCTTCAGGTATTCTAGAAAAGACAGTAGTTAACATGTTATTCTGTTGATCTTAAAGTTTCTTCTGGGAATTGATCCACAAATCACAAGAAATTAATGTTTTTAATCATCTGGAGATCATAAAGCGTCATGGCATTTGTCATCTTTAAGTTCTAGCTTCCTGAGTAATTGTTACTAGAATGAGAACCTGAATCTCTTGAAAGTTTTCTACCAAATTTTGCCTTTCCTTGCAACTCCTGTAAATGAAAATCTCTCTCTCTTCCCTGCTGCCCCCCCCCCCCCGCCCTGAAATGTGGTATGAAGAATAAAATGGCACATGTCAATCACTTAAAGTTGTTTTACCAATTTTGGGAAAAAGTGAGAGAGAGATAAAATGGCTTAATATGAGTCTTGGAAAGAAACGAACCATTGAAGGTCCCAGAATCTTTCGCTATATTTACCTGGGTTAATATCATAGAATCACAGAACAACAAGTATCAACTAATCTTCAACTATAAGCGTGCTTTAAAGGAATTGAAAAAATAACCATTTTATCTGTAATTTACTTATTTGTCTTTCAGTTGGAACAAAAGACATCCACTATACTGCCACATGAAACCATAGGAATGTTTAAATACTTGCAAAATACTGTCTTGGTTGACTTTCCTGTATTCGTTAGAAAGGGAAACAGCTGTTCTAGGTGACAACTAGTCTTGTTACAATATTATTAAACTGATATAATGCATTTTTTTCCGGAGTGGTAAATTCCACAGTACTAAACATTCCACAGTATTTAGTCAGTAATGCAGATATTTTTGATGTGCAAGTGTTTTCTTAATGATTGCCATTCAAAAATTTAGATTTTTATCTGCATAAAATCTGACCCATGAAAATGAAGGAATTTTACAACACTCAGACTTTATGTGAGTATACAGTAGAACATCACTGGTGGTTTTAATGGTTGTTGTTTTTTGTTTTGTTGCAGTCGAAATCAGCTTTCTTCTTTGCCAGCTTGCCTGTGTGGTCTTCCTCTAAAAGTCTTAATTGCAAGTAACAATAAGCTAGGTTCCCTTCCAGAAGAGATAGGTCAACTAAAACAGTTAATGGAACTGGTATGTTAATGAACTTTTTTTTATTTTTTATTTTGACTTCATTTGTATTTAACTGGAAACAGTAAAATTCACTTTGCAAATACATTTGAACAAATGCATAATACTATAATACAGGTTAAAAAATTAACTTCTGAACTTCTCGAGTGTGTTGAGTAGTAACACAATAATAGTTTCTTTTATGTTCTTCGGGACCCTTCTAAACAACATCACTGCCCTTGGTTCGTTCAAAACTCAGCTTCTAAGTTCATCATCTTTACCAGTTTTAGTCACCACCCGCACTGGCTCCCTGTTTTGCTGTACCAAGTTCCTAGTTCTGGCATCAGGCTCTGCAAGCTGTATCCCCTCTGGAGCATCCTCCCCTTCTGCGTCCTTTCTCTCTGTTGTTACTATCTGCTTGCCACACTGCATTCCACTAGGGAGACTTATCAGTTTATTTTCATTTTATTTCACTATTTTTGCCATAAGACCTTCCTTTCCTGGAACACCCATCTAAACAGATTTACAAAATGATTACATTCCTTTTGTTTTCAAAGCTTTCCACACAACTACTGTTTCTGCAAGCAGTAGATCATCTGTAACGTATTGTCCAGTAAATGAGAATCTGAAAAGGCAAAAATTATTTGGTACCTTAACTTAAAATTAATTTAATTGGACATGTTTTATTTAAACTTTGTGTGTGGAAAATGTATATAAGAGAATGCTTCCCTTCCTCTCCCTTTCTCTTCCTCTTTTGTATATTGTAGGCTGAGGCTCTGAATTCTCTATGGCATATGTGTTAGGTCTTCTGGTAATTTCTGTTCACCTTGACCTCTTAAGATACAAATTGACAAATAAACTACATTTTGACGCTGCTAATTTATGCATCGTAAAACAATGATACTTGAACTTTCTTCCAACTGCTGATATCTCTGTTGACAGCTTTATCTTGCACATCTTTTCGGTATCTGAAAGTGCCTGCTTATCATATTACTATTTTTATAACTGTAGTCCCTCTACTAAACTATGTTACAGAAATTGAGCTGACCTTGCTTTAGGCCCCAGTCCTGCTACTGGTTCTTCATATGTGGAGTGAAGTGGCAACTTTGGGGCTTTTTTCCTTCTAGTATTCTTTTTGTACAGCATCCTGTGATATCAGGCCTCTATTATTTATTACAACTGATGTGGCTGTTGATGAGGATGGGGGGGGGGGCAGTTACCTTTTCCTTTCTGGGTTATACCTGAGCTAAAGACTACCAAGTTTGTTGTGTTTGGTGAGCATTATTAATTTATCTTATCAAATGTTATAATTTGTGTGTGTGTGTGATGGGTTTAATTAGATTACTGAAATGGTTTTGATTTAATTAACCTTCAAAAAAAATGTGTTAGCCTATAGCATTGTTTCTTTTGTGCTGAAAATAGATTCAATAAAAGGTTATGGTTCCAGTTTTATATATCATTAAAGTTGAACTGTATTAAACACATCCTAATTTAGGGGATAGAATGACTGAAGAGATAATAAAAAGTGATTGGAACCTGTTAGCTCTTGATTGCTTCTAGGTTAAATGTGGCCCAGCTTAGTGGTGGGGTGCTCGTGAAATAATTGAAAGACTTGGCCTAATTCTGTCTGGTCAAAATCACCTGTTTTCTTTGTATTAACTGAGGTCTGTGATAATATTTTCAGTAAAGAGCTGCTGAAGTGCTTTCTTATCTAATTTGCTCTCCAATTTCAAGTTTGAACCCTCCCAATAAGGTGAACTACCATTGCTGATGCTGGAAGTGTTTCATTTATTAGTAAGAGATTGTACACAGCTTAATAGTAGCCCTTATCCTTATTTTAGAATTTTGAAAAGTAAAAAAACTAAAAGCTTGAAAATCAATGTAGATTATACTTAAAGGAGTTAGGGTTGGTTTGGGTTTTTTAAACCAATCATATGTTTAAATTAACACCTGGAATACTGGATTTTCATATTGCTTTCCAGTTACAGTATAACTTCAGTGTTACTCTTTGTCATGAAGAACACAACAATTCCTGCTCTAAAAATATTTCATGAGAGGCTATAGCAACATATCACTTTGGTAGGTTAGAAGAATTAAGAAAGCTGAAGAAGGTTTGATGCTAGTTCTTTGTGATTAGAAGGGGGTGGGGGTTAGTGAATAACAAGTTTTTGTTAAATTGGCCATGGTGCTATTCAGATGACCTGATTACTTTTTTCGATGCCACCTTGAGCGTTTGGTACATTTGCAGTGAAAAGAGTTGCATTGTTTAGCTGGAAATGACTAAACTGTGCGTGTATTGGGAGAAGCAAATAGGGGTAGGATTGAGAGCCAGGATCTGTATTGGCATATGTAAGACAATGCAGTTTAGATAATAAGGTGATCATTGTTGTAAAATGAGTAAAAAGAAAAAAAAATAAAGATTAAGTCATACTGCAGTTGTTGCACAAAACGTTCAGCTGTGTGAGAGCAGTGCCAGCCTGAATAGCGTGGGGCTTCCAAGCACCACCACGACCCAGCCCTGGGGCAAGGCTGGGTTGGTTTGGTACGGACCCAGTGCTGGGGCTGAGCTGGCCCAGGGGATCCATCCTGCGCGGTGACGGGTGCCACCTGGCTGCATCCAGGTCTTGTATTACTAGGACTTTGCCAAGCGCCTTCAGGTTCCCAAAGGGTTTCACAAGCTGCGTGCAGCAAAATCTGTGTATACATAGCAAATGGATTAATTTTTTTTATTTTTAATCTAACCTGTTGAAACAAATTTTACCTCTATAGTCACTCTACAATGATGTAAGCATAGTTTGCTACAAATTAGGTCAGATCTTTCCAACTAACTCCGCTTTTCCCCCTCCTCTCCTCCAAAACGGGGTAGGCAGTTCTTTTTCTATTACGTGTATATATTTATTTAAATTTCATACTTGTAGCATAGAATGACTTAGATATTACATGCAGTAAATTTTCAGGTATTCTTTTAAATTTTAGGGTTCTGGGTTATATACATCTGGCAGCTATCTTACAGGCATCAACATACAATTTATTCTCCCTGCAGGATATCTTAGAATTATTTGCAAAACTTGGTTGGGAAACCTACTTTTATTTGCAGCTGTGTAACTCGGTTATACCTCTACTGTCAGCCAGGAGGATGAGTGCAAAACTGGTGTGAAGATAATCTGAAATGTATTTTCCATCAAATAAAATTGGGCAGAGGTGTTTCAGTAGCTATACCCGAAACTATCGGATGTACGGTCAAATTCTGTTCTCCATCCTACCAGGCAGTATTGCACTTCTGCCTTCTTCAGGTAACAGCCCTCTCCATCGCGGGGACACTCCTGTCTCAGGTTGGAAGCCTTTAAATCTCTCGACTGAGATTTAGGTCTTTCACCTCGTTCACCACATCTGGGCCAGCAGCCTGACCAAGTGGGACCTGCTGCCTTCTGCTGCCTAAAAGGGTCGATGTGCTCCTGCACCCTGTAACTTTTTTACTATTCTGTATGGCTTGTATGTCACAAGCCCTGACAGAATCCACATGCTTTTTAGGAATAACAGCTCAGTCAGGAGTCCCAAGTTTTAAAATGGATGTAAGGAGGAAGTTTACCTCAATTTGGGTGGTTTAGGTCAACTCCTGTGTGTGTGTGTGTGTGTCAATAAATATGTTTATATGGAGCCAGAGTACCATATTTATTTTTCTGTTTATATTATGCTGAATTTTTTTGGTTTAAGACCATTTAAACTTTACTATAAAACAAATGGTGATGATTTTAATTTGTTTTCACGCCATTGAGCTTCATGCCACAGGAATTAATGTTAACTTCAAATACATTTCTCTAATCTGGAGAAATTGTGTTGTCATGGCAGGACATGGAATAACTGATGAGAACAAAATAAAACTAATGCAAGCCTGAACTTCACCAAACGCTAGCCCCTTGGAACTTGAGTAGGTGTTTGCACTTCAGTTGGCTGCAGACGTCCATGAAGTGAAGTTCCAAACTGCTGGTTGCGTAGTTCCTTTAAAAGATATTAGCCTGGAAACCATAGGCATTCGACTTTGATAGTATTGCTTCCATTACTGCCAGGCTAATGGGAAAGATAAACACTGTCTCTGTCACATACACACTCGTGAAATCTAATAATAGTCAAGAGCATAAGTATAACTAGAAATAATGTTATAGGTCTTTGTTTTCCACAGCTATTCAAGCAAAGTAATAAAAAAAAAAGTTGGACTGCAGTGTTTAGCAGGATAAAGGATACTACTGTCTCTAGAGATCTTGTGAATGCATAAGAGATCAGTCTTAATAAGGATGTTTTGAAAGGTTGTAAGTGGACGTGTTTTTGAGGCTACACATTGCCAGGCTTTTTTTTTTTCTTTCTTCCTCCGCCCCCCCCCCTTCCTTCCTTCTCTGTCTCTTTCCCTGACTTGTTCTGATGTGTGTGTGTTAAGTGTACTTGGTCTAGAGTTTCTCTGCCACAAGGTGACTTTAAGTTCTGTGCTCTAAAAATTGAGTATCTAATTATGAAGTTGTTTAAAGTGTAAATTAAAAATAGGACAGTAAAGCTTTAAAAATAAATTATCTGGGAACAGTGCAATTAACCATACTTTGTGGCAACTTGGGCAAAAGATGCACTCATTAACTGGGATTTTTAATTTCCTTGTCTAAAAGCTAAAATAATTTCCTGACTGTGTTTTGACAAGGGAAGGAAGCTCTGGCAGCACTGAGATTCTGTTACAAGGAGAAACTTGTCTGATACAGTGACCAGCATTGCCAGATCACATTTTGCTTTTACTATCATCTTTGTTAACTGGTTTTTAGGCTTGAAGATAGAGAGTTAATGCTTTTGACTAGTATTAAAGACACTATCTTCAAAGAGATGACTTGGAAACCTGACTGAGTTCTAGAAATTTTGTAGTCTAAGACCTCCCAGGTACTGTATAAATCCATTTGAAACAATCAAGAGAATAGGAGTGAACATCCTAAAAGTATTCCATTGGCTGTTCAGGAAAATCTGGCATTACCACACGTAGCTCTCATACTATGAAATGCTGTTTCCGTTTTTTTAAAATGCAGAAATGGAAGCATAATCGGGATATTACTCAAATTTACAGGCTGCCTGGGATGTAAGCAGAGGTTTCAATGTCCTTTTGATTTCACATTGAGTGTAGACTGTTTAGCAGCAAAAATGACAGCTAGTATCTTAAAAACTGTCGCATTTTAGACTGACTTAATCTAAGAAGTTGATCTTTAGTACACATTCATAGCAGTTTCTTATTAGCAATAGTGTTAAAGTATACTGTTTATTACGGTTGCACTACCGTATATAAACATTTGCTTGAAATTATGCTCAATCTAGCCAGACCTTATACTTTCAACTCAACTTTACAGCAGTTAGTCCTTTAGGAATGCTGAAATGAAGATGGGTTCCAGTTTCATCCAGATTATTAAACCAGTTGTATTTAGTCATCAAAATCAGACCTACTTAGAACCTGTCTAGGCACTTAAAAAGTACCTTTTACAATACTATATTGAATATCTGTGTAATAGTAAACAAGACCTGTCCTATTTTATTATGGCCTACTATGTGATGTGATAATCCAACATGTGCCTTTCCTGAGCATCATTACAGAATGCTATTGGCGTTTCCTCTTTTTTCTTTTTTATTCTTTCTTTTTTTTTTTTTAGATTTTGTTTAATGTTCCCTCCAGAAGAACAAGAACCTTTTTAAAAAGTCAGAGCCACACACTAGCAGTTTTACATTTTATCCAAGCATATTTAGTTATATAATCATGGTACTGAGTTCTTTCTGTGAATAAAGTTAAGAATAAAAAGGTAGAACGTCTTAAGCAAATGGTTTTGAACGTTTCTATAGAAATTAAATTGACTTTCAAAATTAACTTACTCTCCAAATAAGAATTCGCTCTGGGTTTTAGGTAATGTATAAACATTTTCTCATGTATCTGTTTTTGCATTGTGAAGAAAGGACACAGATGGTTGCATGTTTTCAGGTTAATAAAATGTTACAATGGTAATGGCAAATTAGCTACAATTTCACATATGTGTTATTTAACACTTAGGAGCCAAGAGTTCATTATGTCTATTATTACTGTTTTGCTGTAGGATGTCAGCTGTAATGAAATCACAGCTTTACCACAGCAGATAGGCCAGCTGAAATCTTTGAAAGAACTGAATGTCAGAAGAAATTACCTCGAAGTTTTACCCCAAGGTAAAAACAAACAACAAACAAAAAATCCTAATACCTTTACGGTAGCTCTTTTTTCATTAACATTTTGAAAGTATTTTTTAATCATGTAAGTAAGTATGATTAAAAAGTAGCAATTGCTTTGTGTTCAAATTTATTCCATTTGAGTTTGTAGAATATAACATTCAGTGGTACTCACTAAATAACAGTGTGTAAGGGTTTTTAAATGAATTATCTTTATGATTCTAGGCATCTTTTAAATTGCACAAGTACCTGTGAATGCAGTATGGGAACTGTCAGCTGAGTTTCAGGAAAAAAAACCACCTTCAAAGTATTTATTTTAAAATTTATTGTCACTTGTATAACAATAACACTTTTAACTTCCCAGTATATAATGGAGTAAATGTTGATCATATTCCTGTCTGAGTTTGTATTTTTTCCTGAATGCAAAAGAAGGTTTATTCAGAAATATTTTATTATTTTATGGCAAAAATAAATACAGATATAACACCTTCTTTCTTTTTTGTTACTTTTAGAACTAGTACAGCTTCCCTTGGTAAAGTTCGACTTTTCCTGCAATAAAGTGCTCGTGATTCCAATTTGTTTTAGAAAGATGGTGCACTTACAAGTATTACTGCTTGAGAATAATCCTTTGCAGTCTCCACCAGCACAAGTAAGTAACATCTACAATTTAAACTGTGCCTTAATATTGGGTGGATGATACCAAATTATAGCCTATAAAATGTCACCTTCTGCAATTAGAGGCTTCTGAACTTAGTCATCACAGACATTATTCGTTGATATATAAATAAGACATCGAAAATATCCTATGTTCTGTGTATGAGTCTGTGTACCACTTGAACCAACATGAGCCTAGAAGATTTCCACTGTTAGCTGCCTGTTTATTTTTGTCATCCCTGTCTGCATATGAAACTTAATGTTGGAATACGTATATAATTTTGAAAAAGAGAAGTGAGAAACTTCCTGGATAAATTTTCTCTCTGTTAATAAGAACCCATTTCTAGAAGGTTCTATGAATGTAATCCACGGGAAATTTATTTTACTTTATAGTCTAAGTTTATAGGTTGTGATACACAAAGAAATCAAACTCCTGAACTGTAGGTCATGCTGAGAAATGATGATAATAAATGAATGCATCCTGTGCTTGCTGCTTAAGGACAACTTTGTTGTTGTTGACTTACTGGACGGTGGATTCAAACTACATCTCTGAAAGCTACAATTGTTCCGGATCGACAGCTGTTGAAATACTTGAGAGTTTTTATTACATTGGAGAAATGCTTTTCATAACCAATGGTGATGCTGCTCCTAAACTCAAAAAATACAGAGCAAGTTTCAGCAAGCGCTTGAGCTAAAGTGTGCAGTTAAAGAAAAAAAATTCTAAAATGCAGGTGAAATGCATCATAAAGATGCTTGGACACTAGTAAAAACAATGTGACTAAGAGTATAAAGGACATGCTGATGAATTAAATGTCATTATTGACTAATTTTGGACAATAATTATTCAATTTACCGTTAGTAATAGGCCATATGATATATTTAATCGTAATTCTTTTTGCGTGAAAAGCTCATTTGGATTTTTTAAAGTAGAATACATTCTTGTTTTCTGTCTTACTCTCTGATGGTATTCATACTAGTACACACAAATAATTGATGTGGTAATTGAAGTAGTTCTTAGTAATTTAAAAAAAATTAGTAAAATCCATTTACGTGGTATCTATTGTGATGTTTTGAGTTGGTTTTCAGGGAGTTTTACGCTAAGTGACATTTGGAATAAATTATTTCTTTCATTCTAGTTAAAAATCTAACTTGTTTTTCTTGTCTAACAGATTTGTACAAAGGGTAAGGTGCATATATTCAAATACCTAACTGTACAGGCCTGCCAGATTAAAACAGCAGACTCACTGTATCTTAATGCCATAGAGCAACAGCATTTGCCACAACCTGTGGAAGAGAGGTACGTATGAAAATCTCACTTAGGTTTTTCATGTAACAGTTATAAACAAAGTGAAATAAATATATTTATATCTTTAGCTTTCAGAGTTTCATTTGTTTAGATGCTATTTAGAGTGGACTTTTCTGAACAGAGATTTGGTTTGCTTTAATATATTTTATTCTAGTGAAATCCATATAAGAGTTTAGAACAAAATATTTTTAACAGTCAGTTCTGATTAAAGTTAGCAGCACATTAGGAAAGATCTTAGAAGTGAACCTTAGTTTAAATCTATCCTCTTACTAGTAGACTACAGGAATAATAATTCAGATGGTAGTATCATTAGGTGTTGGAACTTTCTTGTAAATCCATTAACACACTAAATAAGTTTTGAATTCTTGCGTTGTTTTGTGATTTAGATATTGTCATACATTCGTCACATAGTTGTTTTAAGCTTTTTTTAATTTGTCCAGAGGCTTTTATCCATCCAGCAAAGAGAACTGCATGAATGTTGAGATCCTTTTAAAGTGAAATGTGCTAATTTGTTAGCAAAATGAAAGACAAAATCTTTAATGTCTTGCATCAAACATCTAGGAAATGTCATCTTGTATTGTGGCTTAAGGAAAGGAACTAGATACGAAGCAGCTCCTTTCTATGAGAATCTCCATAGCTAATTGGAAACCAGCGTTAGTCAGCTCTTTCTTTGCTAACATGGGAGGTATAATATAAACAATCAGAGAAAGTATGATAATGTCTTATTTTTGGAGAGAAGTACTCAATAAAAACAAAGTGTTGATGTAAATAAAAATAGAGATGTTGCTGATAACACCCTGGGGGACAAAAAAAAAAAGAACTGTTACAGAATCTCCCTTTCAGTCATCTAGGCAAGGTTTCAAGCAAATATTTTTCCTCCATGTATGTTTGGAAACACCTTTGTGAATTTCTGTCAGATAAATGCCAAAGGTGGGAAGAATCCAGGATGAAGAGTAAGTTTGCCATTTGGGAAACACCTGCTTGTTTTCTGTTTTGTTCTTTTAGTATATAAGAAAATTGACAGGAATGTCAGGTCCTGGATGACATTTTGGTTATATAGGAGCATACAGGTTAGGGTCAGGGGATAGTACAGAGTAGGTGCCAGTTGGTAACTAACAGCCTAATGTCTATCACACAATAATAACCAAACTTTTATTTTAGAGAATAACTTCACACTTCTAAAGAAAAAATGAACCCAGTTAGGATTTCCATAGGCAGTTTCTACACAAAATCCTTAGTGTTTACTAATAAGAAATAATTTAAGATTAGGGTTAATCAGATACCTTATTCATGTGATGACTGATAAAGTTCTTTTTTAAATTGCTGTGTCAGTCTGAATTCAGGGTTATAGCTTTCAGGATTGCAAATGAGGGGATAATAAAGCATATTTTAAAAAAAGTTAGATGATGGGAGTTTTGCATCTACTAGCGTACTTTAAAATCAGTAGAGGTCATATTAGGTAATGAAACCAGAAGAGAGAGCAGTTGTCACTATTATAGTAATTTTCTTAAAAACCTAAATTTCAAAGTCTATTTTAAAGCACCAGAAGGAGGTTTCTGTGTTAATAATTACTTCAAGCCGCAGGGAGATATCAGTTCATTTTTAATGCATCAATGGTTACAATTAAATCAGTTGACTCCAGTTTGAGTTCAACTAGTTTAGTCGCTTATCCCATGGCTAAATGACTTCAGACTCCTGTGCTACTTAGCTAGTAACTAAGCTTTTTTACTTAGTATATAGACAAAAGCAAGCTTTACAGGAGATTATTTCTGTTGTTTTCGTTAATCCTTAGGCTAACCAGCCATTCCATCTGATCTATTTTACTATCACCAGACTGCAGATTTGTAGTTTTTAACCATACTAGGCTATTTCACCCTCTACCATTAAGCCTGGTTGGAATTTTGCTTTGATTTAAGTAAAACCAGGACAGAATTCTAACGGTAAATGCTGTGATAGTTTTTTATTGATTTTTGTATTTAATTTTATTTTTATTCACATCTAGCATTGATGACATCTACCCAAGTAAAAAGGACTCAGATTCAGGAGTTGGTAGTGATAATGGCGATAAACGTTTGTCAGCAACAGAGGTAAGTTGCCTGAACTCTGTGTCCAGCTCCCCTTCCAGCACCCATATTTTTGACTATATTTTAAGCTGGGTAACAATGTGAATATGTTTTTAGCCATCAAAACTGTGCAACCACATCCTTGGCATGAATTTCTCGCTAAGAAATGGATAAAACAAAGATAAAAGGAGACTGGGGGGGTGTGTTTGGGGTTTTTTTTGTTTTGTTTTTTTCTCTGTATGCTTTCTGGAAAGGGCAGGGAGATACTTGCTTACAGATGGTCAACAACCTACCAGTAGTGAAAATTCACTACAGTTGTCAGGCAGTTTAGATAATCTAGAGGATGAGGGCCACACCAGAATCCACGTCCGCTGTTTCCAATGAAGTAAATGTCCTAACAGTTACAAGCCTGGCTGCTGCTCCCATGTTTTCTCTTTGACTGATGACTCTTTCCTGTTGGGAATTAAGAGGAGTTCAGTCTGCCCAGTCCTGGTATGTTCTGTGGTGTTGTGGTTATGGCAGTTTGCTGTAGCGTAGGAACTTCAGAAACTTTGCAGATCTTAATGCCTTTACATGCTCTGGCAGTTAGGCAGTGCTGGAAATAAGCCTTCAGAATTTTTTCTGAACTATGTTATCTGACTGAGCAAAGAAAAAGGATGGCTTTCCTAAGACTAATGTTGTCCTAAGCAGTTAGAGCTGACTTTCCTAGACCTTTTTTCTGAGGCACTGCTCAGCTGAACAGGGCACTAAATCTAGTTGGACTTGAACTGAGTAAATAATGATAAGTAAGTAAATAATTTGCAGTATAATTCAGTGATGATCTTTCTGAAATGAACAAATAATGGGATTTGTGGTCTGACCTGATGGGAAATATTCAGGTCACAATAAAAGAATGAGCTTCGTGCTACTTAAAATAATTATACAATGATTCTTTGGTGTTTTTCGCCTCCTTTGAGGAAAAGAGATTCTGTTGCTTTTGAAACAAATGTATAAAGAATCAAGCTTAGATACTGAGTTTGTAGTTACTAAAAAGCAAATTGAAAATGAATCCACTTACACATTGATTGGTCTTTTAAATACAAAAGCACTTAAAACCCCACAGGGATTTCCAAGTATTTGGCCAAGTTTCTTGCTAGATAGAAATGAAGCAGAATTACTGGGATTTCTAGCCAGACTTCCAATGGTTTCCCTCTAGTTGTAAGAGCATACAGTCCATTCAGAGATGCTTACAAACTGTTTTGCCATTCTCACACTTCCTGAAGCTGAGTTAGCTTGTTAATGAAACTGTTATTCCAGAATTTCCTCTTTAGCTATAAATAACACCTTTAGAAAATAGATCATCTTTCCTGTAATCAAAATGTAGCAATCCGAATGCTGCAAAAAATCTTTTAAAGACAACCAACAGTGAACCGATCCATTTTTATTAGCACAAAGGCTTTTTATATGAGAACTATTTACTCGTCCCATCCCTGCCTGATTATTGCTCTACTATTAAGGAGAAAATAGATGCTGAGATCTGTAATCCCAAATGTATTTGGTAGTAAATTCATCACTCAGTTTTCCTTCTGATGCGATCTTTAATACCTGTGTTACACATGAGAATTGTGCAATATTAGCATGTTGTGAATACAGATTCACGTATGTTGTTAATTACAATCAGAAATCTACATACCAAACATTAGATAAACATTAAATGATAGGTCATAAAGTGGTCATTAAAACACATTTTTGGAGGGTTTTTATAAATACATCAGACATATAGAAACAAACTACAGTTTAGTCTAATGCTAGTGGCTGTTGAGTTTCAGCTCTTTTACAGAAAAATACTACAATGTCATATTGCATTTGTGTAACTTAAAAACAGTAACTTGAATCACTTGTTTGAAAATGAATGTATTTTTTTAGGAAGCTTGCTAATTAGCTTTGGGCGCATACACATAGGAGGGGAGTACTTGCTGAGCAATTTACCTATTTCTGTCTGGCTTGTTGGTAGGGTAATTTCAGGGTCAATTCTTCAGAGCTATAGTCCTTTTTGGCATTTCAAGTGAAAGTTATCTTGTAGCATTGCTGCAAAATTGGTCATGGCAACTTGAAGGCAAATTCTGCTTTAAGGTAGTGCACTCACGTACCTCATCTTTTAGGAACAGTGTAGCATTTTCCACCTCCCTTTGACCTTATTTTTTCCTTAGTTAAAATTCATTAGAACAAGAGGGTACTTGTTAAGATCCAGATGGTGTCCCAGCTTTATTACTGATAAGAGTGACGCATTAGTACCAGCAAGAATGTATATGAAGATTCTTTCAAAATGCATCACCTGAATTCAGTGTTGGAATAATGTTAGGTATTTTTGATTCTTATATGTCTATTGTCTTCTGTTGCTGGCTGAATAAAAATAAAACTGTGGACGAAGGAAGTGAGACACAGTATTTCACCTGTGAAGGAGCAATACTTTTGTATTATCGCAGGCTGCTTTGGATAGTTTCTATTTCATGGTATACTGGCAGGAAACACCTGGAAAATCAATTGCAGAATTCTGTAGGCCCTGAAAGCGAGACGTAGCTTGTTAAAGGAATGATTTTCTGTTTCCAAATTGAATGGCCCATGGCTTTTTTTACACCAACATGCCAAAATATTTTCCTAAAAGCTGTATGTGTTGCTCTGCTGAGAAAAAAACCCTGCCTGTTTTAGCATTCAGAACTTGTAATAATGTGTATAAGAACATTTTACTATAGTATTTTCAAACCAAAGTTGTGAGATTAACAAAACATGAATCTTTGATCTAGAGTAACTAAATTTAATGCTTAAATGTCACATGAGATACAGTCTGAAAGAAAGAGAAGGAACTTCGTAGTAACCTTGGTTGTCTGAACAAATTTATACTGTGTATGTCTTTTTTTTTTTAAAGCTGTTGGATTGTCATTGTTTGAGGTCTAAAAACGAGTGACTTGTGCTTAGACTACTTGGAGCGTGGTTTGTTTATTTTCTGTTTGAGATACTAATTTGTTTTATTTTAAAATAAAATTTATTTTAAAATTTAAAAATTATTTTAGAAGTTGACAAATAGGAACAGTACTGCAATGTTAGTTCACTTCATTATAAAGCTTCATTATTTTGATAAGGCTTTATCAAGTCCCTGAACATCCTTTTGAATTTTTTTCTCTTTAAGCAGAAGAATACAGCCAGTGAATTCATAGAGTTAATAACATGCAGTTTATTCATAAAGAAGAACATTTATGGTGGTCCACATTTACAAAATGTGTTAAGTCCATGGCATTCTTGGCAAACAGGAATAACCACGTGTATTTTCGATACAGTTTTTTAAGTGCAGAGCAGATTTGCTCCATCCTTTATCACAAACCTTAGCTTCAGGATTTTAAAAAAATATTTTTTATATGGAATATGAACATATAAAGGTAGCAAGAATGGGATAATTCTGCTCGAAGCTAGCAACTGTGGGAAGGAATAACGGATTGGATGTAACAATCTCCCATTCCATTGCGGATCTGGTGTTACAGTGGGCTGAACGGATAAACAGGCATATACCATTTCCTTAAAAATACATATTCTTAAAGGATATGGAACAAACTGCTATATATGTATTATAGCAGTTATAATTACAGAATACACGTACAGAATATGTATGTGCAGAGTGGTGAGTTCCAGAAACACAGAGCATCTAACGAATGAGCGATGCCAGTGGGTTTGCTGGGAAATGCATTTGCAGAGCTCTGAAAGGCTGTTGTAACGGTGAGCTCTCTCAGGAGAGCAAGAATAAAAACTTGACCTCTTCTGCAGACGGTGTTTTTGCTGTAGTTCACCTCAGGAGGGAACATGAGCAGGAACAGCCGTGCCCTAGTGGCGTGGGACAGAAGCGAAGGCAGTGAAGTGTCAGCGCTTCTTTGCGTAGCCGCTATCCGTAAAGTCATAGACAAGATAAGCTTGTAGGTAAAGGTAATGAGTTTTAGTGTACCTACTAATACGGCTGACAAAAATGTATGCGCTTTTAAGTCAAGGAAGAAAAGCCAGCGTACTTGAGAGCTTCTGCTTTTTTTCAGCTCCACCAGTTAGTCTAATAAAAGGTGTTGCCTCAGCCTACAAAGTTCATCTTGGTTGCTTTAGGCATTAAATTAACAAGCCGCAGGGTAAAGCAGGGGAGAAGAGTCTTGGAGGGAAAGAGAAAAGGACTGCGATACGAGGCTCAGTTTTTCTACAGACTTTGGTGGCTACGAGGAGCCTCTATTTTCAGCTGTGCCGGGAAATTGCACAGAGAGCAGCGCAGTGGAGCGGTGTCGCTGCGAGGAGAGGACTAGTGCAGCGAGGAGGGTAGGGGAAGAGGAGAGATTCATTGTTCTGCTTGGCCAGCCTCCTGTCAGGATGTATTCAGCACGACTACAGCTTCCTACAACAGGATTTGGTCATGTTAGACGCTCTGGTATCCTCTCCCATATTCGTTTGCCACTCTTTAGTGAGCGCTCTTCTTAATATGTACGTTTTTATCACTCTTGGTTTGAGCTGAAAGCAGCGTTTCTCTTGTTTCTTCTTAGCCTTCTGATGAAGATACTATCAGCTTTAATGTTCCAATGTCGGACATCGTGGAAGAAGATCAGGTTGTAAAGGAAGATTCAGGTCACCATGCTAACTCAAGAAAAGGTTGGAATGTAAAAAAAGTGGAAGTTAAATACAGGGAAATTCTGGCGATAATTCCATGTATAAGACTAAATTCAGTTTGCAAAAGTCACAACCCAGCAAACATCAATCTTTCAGCAGTCTACAAACATCATCTTTAAATGAAATCCATTTTATTTACTGCTATTTTTCCTTGGAATTTTCAGTGTTTAATTTTGCTCTGGATAAATACCTTATTAAATTGATTGTTCTTGCTGATGTTCTAGTTGATCAACAGGTATTTTTGCCACCCTATGCATTTTAATTTTTTTGTAATAAATGCCTACCTACCCAAAAGGCTTTAAGCATGCATATGCAGTCATGTAAAAAAGAAGAAAAAGTGTGCTACTTAGAACATTTTTTAACTATACTGAATTGAGGTCCTTGTAGTTGTTTTCCGTAGCAATTCCAATGAACTTGTTACACCTTGTCACTAGAGTTAGTAAGTTTTGGTTCTGCCTTGGGGAAGAAAAGTGAGAGTCGGTTTAAACCATCTTCCCAACCAGTAATATCAATGTATAATAACTTATCAAATGCTAACTCAGATTTTGAGTTAGCTATGTACAAAAGCAGAGTCCCTTTCTCTGGTTGGACATAATGTGTATCTAAAGCTTTATTAATCAAAGTCAGCATTACCTCTGGAAGCAAGTAAATCTCTTCAGATTTTGAGAGAAGGTGTAATTTTATATAAATGTTATTGAAGTAACTTACATTTTTCTAAATTACATCTACATACTGATAAACAATGTTTCTCCAAGGTCTGTACATACTAATGATAAATGGCAGGATGAAGTCGGTGAGTAGCGTATGCATACACATAAATAGGAGATCAGCCTTTGCCCAGTGTTACATACTAGGTTAAATGAACTTCAGTTGAGATACTCATCAGAATTCAGGAGAATACGAAGTGAGATAGTAAGAGCATTACATCCTACAGTGTTTATTAGCAAACTGGAGAGGGTAAGTTATAGGATCAGACCACTTCAAACAGAGGAGAAAATTCTTACTGCCGTATGCCCCTGGAAATAGTATATGTAAGCAAGAGATTGGCATAGGCTCTGAATGCTCTGAATCATTTTGTTTGACTTCTGCTAAGAGTTTGAGTGTTTGTTACAGCATAATAACTCTGAAGTTGCATTAAACTGCAAGTCACTGGCTGAGACATCTGAATGTCTTAAAATATTCTGCAGCTGTCCAGCTGTGCTCTGGTACCGGTACTGGCAAGACATCCTTGGGGTAGTTCAAAACTGACTCCATTAATGCCAGTTGTGGTGCTTCTGATCTACTACTATATGAGCCCAGGGTATTGATTTATTACAACTTTGAAATGAATTGGCATCACTCATTAAAATGCAAAGGTCTTAAGCTGTTTGAAATTTTTAATACACTTCCAATTTAAGCTTTGGTTTTGAGCTCTATAATTTAATACACTTAAATTATGTTGAGTAACAAATGTTGAGCTGAACCAGAAATCATTCTTCTCTCTCTCTTTTTTTTTTTTTTTTTTTTTTGTTGTTATTAGTGGAATTCCATCAAGGATCTTCTCACCTGATTGTCAATGATAAGTCAAGAGAAACAGAAAACCAGTTTAATGAATCGGATACTCTTACTACTGAATTTATGAGTTACATTAAGGCAAGTTTGTGACAATTTAAAATGGGGGGAAATATCTTCACTACTTTCACAAGTATAGAGCAAACAGGAGTGACAAACTGCAGACATTTTAATGAATGAGACCACAATTGATGCTTTTTGTCATAAAAGATACAGAAGGCAAAAAAAAGCAGGTAGGTTTAAAGTGATTATAATTAATCTAGGAGGTCAATTTACCTGTAACTCTTTCTAGTATATGTGAGAGTTATCCTTTAACTATATTTAAGGCTTTAAGAAAAAGTGCCAGGTATGATCTGTGCTATTTGCTTTATATTTTGAATTGAGCAATTTTTGCATTTGTTACATTAGTAAAATCCAGGGGAGGATGAAAGTAGAATAAGTGCTGCATTTTGCTCAACTTATATGTGCGCTTATGGGAAAAATCATGTACTTAGTTCCTGTAAGGAGAAGAAATAGAAAAAAGAAGGGCTTTATTCATTCTACTGGGGATTGGCACTGGGAAATGGGCCACCTTCGGGGTATGTTAGAGGAGCTGGTACACCCCTCAGTGACGCATCTTGCAGAGTTGGATAGCATTTATTGGTACGGGGTGATGCGACCGATGTGCCAAACACATGACACAAAAGAGGATAAGTCTTTCTGTTTTCTGCTGTTCATTCTCTACTAGTAGAAATGCGCATCTGTTCAGAGAGCTTCTGTCTTTACTGGCAGCTGAACTAGTTCAGTGTTCTCCCTATCTGAGATGAAAGAGAAAAGAAAACTGCAAAGCACAAAATGGAAGCATGAAAGAGTCAAGTTTTCTAATAAGTAGCGCTTCATAGTTATACGTAGGACAGTGAGAGCTGTAATTTATGCCTACATTCAACCCAAAATAACTGGCTGACTGATATGAATTCTTCCTTGCAGTTTTCGTTCTGATTTGTTTTAAAAAAAAAATATTCATGGCTTTTAAAATTTTCAAGTAGGAATCCTGTTAATAATTATGGATGAAGTATGTAATTGCTACTGCTTGCATATTTGGAATTTGCTTGTTCTGTAAACAAATCTGGCTGCGGTGGGAGACCAAGTATGAGAGTTGGGTTGTGCTTAATTGAAGCACTGTTTGCATACACCAGAAAGGCACAAATGAAATCTGGGACATAGAATAAAGAATTCTCATGCTGCTTGACTTTCTTTTTTACCGTTAAAGGGAGGGTAAGGGCTGTCGACCTCAATAAAATCTGAACAGTGAACAGAAAGATCTTGTAATCGGTATTTTAAAAGGGGGTAGGGTGAGGAGTGGAGCAGAAGTGTTGGATTGCTTCAACTAGCCACCCTAAACTGTTACATAAATTAGGTCAGTGCTGAGTCTGAAAGCAAAATTTATCTGCCTACTTAATTGCAAAGTTCAGTTCTCAATATCCCTTTGCTTACAGAGCAGAGCAGCAGAATGCGATGAATTATTGAGAATAGAAGAGGACACACAATGGCAAACAGACGAAATGTAAGTATTTTTTATGTATCTGTAAGTAATTAGCTGTGTCATTTAATTAGATTGACGAGAATTGGCAATTCCTTATCAGTTAATAATTTTGTAGACTTGGAGGCATGACAGAAGCACAGCCTTGCACTTTGTGTGCGCTCCATGTTTTATACATTATTGCCAAATAGAGCAGATGTTATATTACAGCTGATTAATTTGTATGCACAAATAATGCTGTAATATTTTTACGTGTGTAGAATGCAAGCTTTTTAATGAGGTATTTTGATTTTTAGTATGTTAATGGCATTGGTAAAAAAGGATTTCATTAAAACTTGTAAGATCTAAATTTAATGTACGTTTAAAAATTTTTAATTTAATTGGAAAAAATCCCTCAGTCTTTTTTCTTCTTTTGTCGTAATTTTAACCCTGAAGCAATCATGAATTCATAGATATTAATTCAAGAGCAGAGCAAGTGAACATCAGTCACTGAGGCGAGTGCCTAAGAAAAGGGGATTTAACATGACAGTGTACTGTGAAGAAGTCACTCATCAGAACAGTGGAGTCCTATACGATTTAAAAACAAAAACTGAAGGAAGGGAGGAATATGTGCTTTCTGAAAGAGCCTTGCTGGCAGAACTAACAGGAGATTGTGTTTCTAAACCCCCAAAAGAATTACAAATATTGAAAAGCAAAAGAAAGCATGCTGGTCCATTAAAAGAATCATTGTATTTAGTACTTATATTAAAACAGTACATGTGATGAGTGCAGTTAATAAGACTCAAATACTGATAAATAAATTTTCAGTTTTAGAAGTCAGTCTGTTTAATTGAATGCTAAAAGTTTTAGTTCATCACATTTGTTTATGTGTGTATGTATTAGGTTGGGGGGGCTTTGTTAAGGACAAAGTGCTGGAGAATTTTTTCAGAAGAAACTCTTTTTGTAAGTTCAGCACATGCTAGTGTGCACAGAGGCTGGTTTTTCCCCTCTGCGGTGTTTGCGTGCCAATTGGAAGCTACAGGTCAAACTGAAACTCAGACTACCCTTGATAATTGCTGTTGTACCTCTTTTTTGAATGCTTTTGTTTTCTGTTATAGAATAAACTTATCAGAAGACCAAACTATTGATATAGCAATGATAGAACAACTAAGAGAAGCAGTAGATTTATTACAAGATCCCAACAGGTATGCTTACAATAGCTAATGTATTAATGTAATGTATTTAAATTTTTTGTGAATTACTTTTAGAGTTCTTTTTTAACTGATAATTGAAAGTTCTCTGGAGTTACAAAGTGCTTTGTTAGCATACTGATGTTTTTCAGGAGGCGCTTAGATAGTTAAGAAAGAAACTTGCATTCTCTCTCAGACTATCTAGACAAGGATCCCGGTACATTAAGAAGGATTTCAGATATAAAAGAAACCTAAATTTAGAAGTGGAAACACCCCTTAACCATTCATTTCGTGTACACTACTGTGCTTTTCTGAAGTTTTGTCTAGGATTGCCACACTTCTTCTAGGGACTATAAACTGTCCTCTACTTATTCATGCTTGGTTTATTTTGTGGGAGTGGAGAAGGTCTGCTGGCCCAGCTTCGTCCCAACTTAATGGAGCACAAAAAGGAGGTGCCTGAGTTAGCGGTGGAGTTTCTGTAGTCTCCCCCTGAAAGCAAAAGGAGAAAGAGGAAGCAGGAGCTAGAGAAAGTTACTTAGACTTCCCCTGACTACAGAAGGCAGGGTTTTATAATTTAGGTGCCTGTTTTAAGTGGCTAAAGTCAGGTGGAATGACTCTGGATCTGTGAATAAGGAAAAGAATAAGTATTTAAAAGGAAATAAATGCTTGTCCTGCTGAAAAGGACTGACAAGAGTGATGTAAGTAGTTCTGTCCAGATGCTTTTCTTTGTGTAATCACCTTCAGAAATCGATTAAGTTAATTTCAAAACTAGGTAACTTGTATTTCTTCATTACTTCTATGAGGTAGTTGGTTTACAGCTTCATTTCACTGAAGACTAGAAACCTCCTTGTCACTTCCATCCTTAAGTATCCTTGTTTCTCCTTCCTCCCTTGGCCAGTTTGCTCTAGCTCTTTGTTCTTGTGACTATGCTGTTCTTTAATTTAAATGCCTATTTTAATACTGCTTTTTCACCTAGCAGAGCTTTGTACTTTTTAGGGCAGAAATTCACTCTTGTTAGTATTTCTAGAGGGACAATTATCTGGCTTTATTTTGAATCATATAAAGAATTACTTGAATTCTTGAATCATATACTAAATACTTGAAGCACAAGTATTTTTGCTTAATAAAAAGTCATACAAGTTAGGAAAGCTTTTTGGTTCCTGTGGCTTCTGTGAGATAACATACTGTTGCTTCTGCAGCTCATATGAGGCTTATTACTTTGTGGGAGACGTGTTGCAATTAAAAAAGGAAAAAGTCTCATTTGGAGAAAAGTGACATTTAAAAAATTTCAGTTAGCCTTATAAATGTTGTCGTTTTGTTTTTTGTCAAATATTGCCCCATTATTTCCTAAATATTTCATTTTTCTTATTAAATTATTAAAAGGGCAATAAAATACAGAAAATTAATCTGTTTCTCCATGAATATTCAGATGTGCTTTCATTAGTAACACTATAGTAAATTTGAAATGTGGCTTTTAAAAATGGCTTATGTCATGCATGTCTGTATTTTTCTACTGCTTTTTTACATAGTGGTTTTTTTTTTCTTCTGTGGCTTCACTTTCTTTTTCTAACCTTAAGATATGAGTATTTAATTTACTGAGCACTATACAGGCTTTTCAGTGTACGTCTCCCATATGTTAACATGCAGACTTACCTAGCAAGATATACCTGGGTGCCTAATATTTGCCAAATGATGCTGTAGGCTTTCAATCCTCTGAGCCATGGGCTCCTCATCATTTCTTTTATAATTACTGGATTACATGGCAGTTTGTTATATGCTTGCATTATATAAAGCAGTGTGAGAAAAATTTGTTTTTCATACTGAATAGTTTTTTTGTGTCTTTATTCAGATCCACAGAGGAATTTACATGCTTCCATTGCTCCGTAGTTTAAGATGCACAAAAGCTTTCAAGTGCTTTTAACTTAAACCTAGAGCATGTAAAAAAATTATAACTTTCCCCAAAGAGGTTTCCTTTGTGCATCACTATAACTCTAATCACCCGGTCAGGATAACCTAGCTGAAATAACTAACTCTAACCAGAATTATCCTTATCTCCCACTGAAGGCCATTTAGGAGTTAGAAAGAGAAATCACTGTAGGGGCTGAAACAGCAGGCGATGCTGACGCACCTAACGTGTTGACTAGAGTTCAGGGTGGAACATATTAATTGGAGCTATCTTTGCTAAAGGAGATGACAAAATGGTAAAACGCTTGTCCAGTTACTGTTGTCCTAGCGTTCTGCAGAGTTTCAAATCTGCATACCCTATGTGCACATAAGCAGCATTTCAGTTCTGGGAAGGAAAAAGATTTCAGACTCAACGTTTTTCAGTATTTTCAGATCTTTGCTTCAGATTCCTATATTCCCTTTCCTACATTCCCTGCTTTCTTTCAGATCATTGCCTGTTGTAAATTTATTGTTGCACTGCTTTATTTTCATCCACTGTAAATTAAATTTGAATGTCTAACCGGGGCTGTGGCTTCTATTTGAATATATAGAGGTTGGATATAGAAATCTACAGTCTTCCAGATAATGGCACGGTTGTTGGTAGTAAAGAGGTCCTTTTGTTTTGATACAAACCATTACTCAGAGTGACGTTTTGCAGATGAAAGCATTAATGTTGCTTTGACTGAACTGGTGACAGTGAAGCATCAGGAGGCATTCCAAAAAGTTCTTAAGAGATAACACTGAGCATGTTAAAACCATGACTATAAAAGTATTTCGTATATCCATTTGTTTAAATACTGAACAGAATGGTTACCAAAACTATACCCCAGTGCAATGTTTTTATTTCAAACCTTGCAGATTAAGCATGGATATTTCAGAGAGCAGTGGTGTGAATCTGTATCCCATGGAACCAGCAACAGCTTTAGAATTTCAGGAGTCTACAGTAAAGTGTGTTTATCTACCTTTTTTAGAAAAAAAATCATGCATTTGTTAGATAATCGTATTCAAGTTTCTACACGATGAATTACATTTTTGCATTTGTTTATCTTTATACATAGCGGTCAAATGCAGATGGAGATGTCTTCCCTTGGTCAGGTACGTTAATGAGTATATTATTACAAAATATTTGGGGGGGAATGACAGGAAATGAGCCAACAATTTCATCAATTATTAATCTACCAGGTAGGGAAGGGAAAAATTTACTAGGCTGGAGGACAAAACTAATTATTCTTTAACATTTTTATGGAATTGTTTTTATTTTTTTTATATGTGTATAAATAATTTTTTTCTGGGTTTATCAGTTACTTTTTCATCTTAGGTTTTTTCCCCCATGTGTGACTCGTGTATGCCAGTTCATAGCTCAGCTATGCATACTCGTCTACCATCCCAACCCCCCTTATCTCCCTGTTCTGGTGTAGGAAAATAGTACATTCATTAAGGATAACCCCAAAATATTTTGTAAACTAAAAATCAGTGTTTTCCCAGAGCACTGTCACTACAGTTACAGAGAGTATATGAGGTATGATTTGGAGTTTTACAGTGTGATATATGCTGCTTATTATTTGATCTGTATCCTGGCTGGTAAACTGGTATTCTTTATGAAGTACTTTGTTTAGATTTACATTATCTACCTATTAGCACTGGAACTGCAAGTATATAGTATCTGCTTACTCGTTTGTTTGCTATGCATTGCAGTATTTGTAAGAAATACTTCTGAGGTAATGTTATGCAAAAAAAATAGAGTTCTATTTCCAGTGATACACGTCTAAAGAGTTGTTTATCGTACAGAGTTCTATTTCCAGTGATACACGTCTAAAGAGTTGTTTATCGTACAGAGTTTTACTTCCAGTGATACACAGTCTGAAGAGTTGTTTATTGTACAGAGAGAAAATGCTGAAGAGGAACTAGAATTTCAGAGGAGGAGGGAGCTGATTATGGAGAAAGCAAAGTCTGAAGTGAGAACTTGTGAACAGGGTGAAAAATGGTCATTGAGTCAGGTATGGAGGTGTCTAGCTGCAATAAATGTGAAAACATTTGGAATGGATCATTGCAAAATGATCACTTTGTGTGCGGAGATAATAGTGGGTTTAGGCTCATGAGGTTGGTTTTTTTGCCTTAGCATGAACCTCAAGGTTTGGGTCTAAATGGGAAGTTGATTAAGACCTATCTCTCAAGAAAAAAACTTGATATAATGAAATTAATAGAAGTCTTTTCTTCCAATAAAAACTATAGTAGTTGCAGTGGTTGCATTCCCCTGGAAAAAATAAGTCACCTCAAAGTTAGATCTTCAATAAAATGAAACACCTGATTCCTCTTCCCCCTCACCCCAAATACTCTCGTAGTTACGTAAGCTGCTAAGTTTTTCTTAACAGCAGTATTTTTAATGTGTTTGCTATTACAAACAGACTGTATATAGGTTAAGGTAAGAGTTTTAAAGTTTCAAAAATATTTTAAGTTTTGTGTACATTGCAACTATCCAGAAAGAAAGAACTATGAAAAAATTCATAATTTAAATATTTGATGCCTATGTTATTACTCCCGAACTTGTTTGTATAGGGATTTTTGTGACTGCTCTTGCAAGAAGATTCTGAGAACAAAATTACATAACATTCTGTCTATACTGGTAGTACCTTAATATGGTATCTTAATCTTTTCCAGACATAGATTGAATCTGGTTTATCTTGATGCTTTTCAAGTATTCTTATGTATAATCATTACTGTCAGATATTCCTATGATATCCTTGTGACTTTGTTAGCCTTAATTTTGTCTTTGTTTTTTCTTTGAAATAGCAAATTCAAAGAAATTGAGTTGGTTCATCTCTTTTGTTATATTGTTGTACGTTGGGGTTACTATGCTTCATTTGGAACAGTTCTTACTACATTGCTGAGATGAACAGATAAGGCTAATTCAGTATCACAGTGTGTGGTCTCTGTATTTTGACAAACTGTTTAACAAGGACACTGCTGATTTCACTTTTAAGAACCTTTTAAAAAGAAAGAAATCTTCCTAAACACTTGTAGAGGGCCTGATCTGGACTGTGTGATGCAGGTGAACGCACTAGGCACGTTCCACGCAATGGAAACGCATCTTGCAAGAGCAAGTTTTTAATTGTGCTGCATTCCGTGTAGTACAGTAAGCACTTCCGTAGCTACTTGTGTTGCTAAATTAATTCCATTTAGCATAAATTCAAAATTCTGACTACTCAATTGCATGCTGAGAGTGAGACCAGACCTGCAATGTGGGCATAAGTGGCAGGTCTGTCCCAAGAACATGGTCCCCGAGCACAGGAGTGCTCAAACCTGGGCGTCCCCAGGTAGAGCTGGCTGGGACCAGATGAATAAGATTTATTTCTGTTTATTCTAGGTAATACAGTTGTTGAGGTGATATCATGAAAGGTGTCTAAAGCTGAAGAATTTTTTTTCAGCTTGAAAAGTAGCCAAGAAAGGTCATGAAGCAGAATGGGTGTCTAATCTTCCTTCCCATCTTGCTAACTTTTGGAAAGCTCTGTGACTGTTGGGACCAAGTGTTCCAAGTGCCGTCTTTTGGTTTTGTTTCCATTTTTAATCGATTTAAAAAAAAAAAATGGCCCTAAGGAAATGATTTTGAATTGAGTTATAATTTGTTTTTACTTCTGCCAGCTGTGTTTCTGCTGACTGAGTTATGATTGATGCAGGATTAAGGATTGTATTTCATACTTATTAACATGATTGGCATGTTGCTAATTTAACTGTAGCAGAAGTGGTAACAAAAGGTATGTTACATTGCAATTATAACATTAATTGCCTACGGAATACTTCTCTCTTCAAATCTGTATTTAAAAAAAAATTTATATTTGCATAGTAAACTCTTGGTGATAGTTTACAAAATCTGTGAAACAAAATTGGATACTGCATTTGAACCAACAAACATTAAAATCTTATAAATGCAGTTATAATCACTTAGGATTGAAACTCAAAAATGAATGACAAATCTGTGTGAATAATTTCCACAAAGTTTTTTAAATGTTGTTCAACGAGCAATAAAAGTATTTATTATTCATGAAAATTAATTGTTTCAGTGAAAAAAAGAATGAAGTATTAATGTGTATCTGTTATCATGAGTAAAATATCCTGTTGTGGTGTATCACTAATATAGTTGCTGAAATGGTCTTTTTTTTTTTTTCCCCTTCCTTTCCAAACGTGCAGAATGATCTAATTGTTTGGAATACAAGTGGGCAAACCTCTCACAATGAGGTAAGATGCTAGTGCTATTTGTTTGTCTCTTACATGTTTTATATGAATGGTTTATATACTAAATGAAACATGTAATTGAATATCACAGAAAATATGACTGAGCTCATCAGTAATGGCTATATGGTTTATTTGGCTTGTAGCTCATTCCTGTTGTCTTAAGGATTTACTAGGGTATAAAAATATGCTTTCTGATAAGCTTGTTTCTGAGTTATGTGCTTTAGTATAAAACGTTTATTTTTTTTACGTTTTGTTTGTTCTGCCACATTGTCTTTTTTTTGACTCTTCCTTGTTCCACAAGAGTTTCTATTGATTTCAGTGCAATTTCTTTTTGCACAGTTGTGTCACGTCCTTGATTAGTTTTCAGAGAGGAGTCTGATTTTATTGATCCTATTGCTTCACAGTGCGAATCTCAGCAGAAGATCAAAAAGGGAAATGGCAGGGAGCTCCTTATGGAGATTTTTTTTTCCCTTCGTATTTTCTGTGCAGAAATAGGGCTTCTCCCTCTACTTTGCACTGCGTATGAGCATCTTGCAAATTCAGGAGCACCCAGCCACCTGCCATCAGTCTTGGTGACAGGACTCCGATAGTTCCTGACTCCCTGAGGAATCACTTTTTAAAGAGGATTCCCATTTTGGAGTTTGGTTATAGGACTCTTTCGATGTTACCAGCAGTGGTATGATGATTATACCTCGCCTTCTGTATGCTGCTGCTCCATTCCTCCTCCTGCAACTGTTAGCCTAGTTCAGGCTCAAGGATGATCGTGCTCTGAGGTGTCCTTTTTTTCTGCCTTTTAGGCAGAAATTCAGTGTTGCATGGAAAGTACCATGCAGAATGGTAATTTATTCTGTGAAAGAAACGAACGTATCTAAGGAAAAAATGTCTTTGCCTTGTTTTTCTAAATGTACTGTGCCACAAAAATGTATGTTTGTTTTTAATCACAAATGATTACATGGGAGAAAATAAATAATTGAGCTTATTTATAGCTTGGGGAATACCTTGCAGTCTTTGGACAGAAACTCATTTTTTCCAGCAAAGGAATAGGATGCAATAACAAAGAGAGACTATTGTAGGTTTGAGGCTATATTGTGATCAGATTATGGTGGAGTCGTCGTAGCACACAGTATTGTTAACTTTTGCATTTTATAGTCAGTTGTGCTAAGATAATCTGGATGTTACTCTTAACTTTAGATTTATGTTCTTGAATTACACAGAACAAGGATAAAAGTCCGACAATGTCTCCTACTACAAACACCACGATCCCTTTTGGCCTGAAGCCACGATCAGGTAATGTGGGAAAGAAAATTAACTGATTTGTATGCACTTTTTTTTTTTTTTAACATCTGTGTTATTAATAGATGTCTGTATTTTTTTCCCTCAAGAAGGCAGTGATGAAACATTTTCTGTACAACAGTTAGAAGAAGATTTTAACATTTTAAGGTTGTAGGTTTGCATCAAGATTGAATTTGTAACAAGTATGTATTTGGCATGTTACGTCTGCATCAATTTTCATCCCTTACTAGTAAATTAGGCGTTTTATAAAATAATATGTATGTATGTTTAAAAAATATGTGTATATGTATATAAATACATGTATTTTACATATATATATATATACACACACATATATATAATCTGGGCTGACATACTAATTGAAGTACGGGTTTTGCTTAATTGGTATGCAGTTTAGATTTTGTTGAATAATGTATGTGAATAATTAGGCTTGTTTGGAAAACACTTACGCATTGCTCTGAAAATTGCTCATTGCAGTGAGTCTTTCAGTAGTTATGCTTGTGTAAGGATCAAGCATCATAGAAAGATTAGATGTTTACTTCAGCCAGCAGCTGAGTTTAATGCATTTGCAATGCACTAAATCTGCATAACCATCAATCTTTTAACAAGCAGCAGTTTATTTAAAAAAAAAAGAAAAAAAACCCAAACAAACAAAATTAAACAAAAAAATACAGATGTATTTGAGGGCTTGGATAACAGCTTCCTTTAAAAACAGGATTAGCTACAGGATTAAACTCAGTTTTTATCTTCTCTGTGCTGAGGTAGTCAATATTGTTAAGTGATCACACATCACCTCTAAAGACTAACTGTAGGTTTTCCAGTATTTTTCAGCGTCCTAAGACCATAATTCTGGTTTCTCGCATTCACCACAAATGCTTTTAATCAAATGCTGGTAAACCACTACAAGCTTGTAGTTTCCATAACAAAATATCTTGGCAATAATGGCAGCAGTTTCATATTTGAGTGTTTAAGAAATTGTACCCATAGATTTGTTTTTCAAAAAAATGTTATAAAAAGCACAGGAAATGGTATTGAACCAACCTTGTTTCATGAAGAGGATATTTTAAATTTCTCATGTAGTTATGACATACAGTTTGACAGATCTGTTCAGCTGCATTTCTTTGTTGGGCTCTTAAACTCTGGCTCTATTCTTGTATATTCCTGATGCTTTAGAGGTGTTGTTATTTCTCTATATATTTAAAGTATGGGTTAAATGATGAGCAAATGGGTCCTTTCAGGATTTGGAAAAAATAAGACATGGAGTAATATTGCACAGTCCAGCGGCAACATTGCGATAACACTGTTGGGAGAAAGACGCGTGAAGGCGAATGGGCCCGTGCCGTGTTGCTGCTTTCGCGGGATGTATCCTGTGTTGTGCTGAGCTGCCAGTAAAATCTGCTGCCAGGGACTGGAAGCAGCGTTGTGGGAGGGAACGCAAGACCGTGACTTCTTGTTCGAGCGTTAGTTTAACGTGCGCTTCCAAGTCTTGGTATATCGGTGCGCCAAGATGTCCTATACTTAATGATTGTAATAGGCCAGGGTAAAATAGCCTATTGAATCTTTTTAGAGGATTTCTAGGAAGAGTGGATTGCTATGGATTGCAGCAAATCCTCCAAGTCGCACAATGGAAGACCAGATGGGCACAACTCCTACAGTTCTTCCCCTGACTATATTGCAGCTGTGTGTAGCCTCATTGAATACCAAAGTCAGTTGGTTATAATCTGTGGATTTTCTACACTGTACCAATTCAAATTCATATATTTGAATCGCTTTGAGTATGCCAATACTATAGTGTCTTCTGGTCACAGCTATGTGTTGCAGAAAACTTGATAACTTGAATTTATTTTCCTTTCCATATCGTACGCTACAGAGTCACCAAGCTAGAGCCATTACTGCACAGTCTTTCACCTCATCGCATCCAGTTTCAGTCATGTTACCTTGAATTTATACCATGGGGAATTTGGCAATAGTAAATCTTTAGGTCCAACTTCAGATAAAAAGGCGGTATATTAGCTGTGTGGCACAATGTAACAAAATGAAAGCTTGCAAAGGAATAGTGAAGCTGGGTATTTTCTCTCCTGTTCCCACCCTAGAATTACTCTAAAAGTAGTATTAAAATTTGTTTTGCTAACACATAAGACTAATTTACAGATAGAAGTAGTACATGACTGGAAATAGTGGCAGGTTTGTGAATTCTGCATGTTTTTCCCGTTAAAGCTGGCTAGCTTGCCATGCCTCTAGTTTTTTCACTGTATTTCCTTTAAAACTTTGTGCGAGTTTTGTGTGAGTTTGAACCATCCTATCACTGTCTGAATTTGTACTTGTTAATTATATATGGCTTTATTGCCCTAGAGCTGAGCTAGTCTAGGGGTCCAGGAATTTTGTGATCCAGGCAAGTTTTTCAGCTCAGTTTGTAGTTTATTTTAATAGCTTTTTTCATTTAAGTTCTTCATGGCTTTAGAGGAAACCTTAAAACTCTTTGGAAATTAGTTTAGCTTTTTAACTTCATTAGAGCTTACATTTGAATTACTTGCTTCTATAAATCTTTTAAATCTGAGTGCAAGGTTAAAAGAACATTAAAGTGTTCTATCAAAAATGTGTACATCATGCTCTGTGGAAAAAATAGTGGCAAATTTTCAATGAAAATATATGGAACCATACCCTTCTGAAATTTGAGAGTTTATTTTCACTGTGTTTATTTTCATCTATTTTAAATGAATGTTGCGACTCCCCCCCCCGCATTGTTTCATAATGATTTATGTCTCTTGGAAAGATGAAAGTAAACTGTTCTAGACTTCTGATAAGGATTCCAGTTTTTTGAACTACACACACAAATGGAAGTGCTTCCAGAGGATAAACCACAGTGGCTTAAATTTCTGTGTTAGTACATACTTATATGTGTTCAGGACTGAAGGTCCTTTTATTCTTTCTTTTTAAAGCTAGGGAAAATAATGGGAAAATTCATATCTGATGGCTGACATGATACCCAAAGAAAATATTTCGAAAGGTAATGAATGTGTTTTGACTTCTTGACAGATTCTTTTCAAGGGTCAGATGTTTACATCAAAGGTAAAAAGAGAGAGGATTTTTTTAATTTTTCAGGCTATTTCCTCCTGTATTTTAAATACTTTTATAGAGTATGGGCTTCTCAAATTCACATTAATTTTGAAAACCTTAAAAAATTACTATTGAAAAGAATCCAAAATTACAAGTTTTCTTAGAACCATAGTTTTGCTCTTGGGAAGTACTTTTGCTCTCTGAAAAGGAATCACTCAAAAGAGCTAATAAATTTAAACTCTTTGTGCTTGATTCGTGAATTGATTAAAATGTTCAGAGTGGTGCTAATTGTCAAAACTGAGTGTTGCAAAGTTCTTGCCGTGATACCTTTAATATGCCAGACCTTGAAGCCTGAGCATCTACTAATAGATCTTGCAGTACTCAAGAATATTTTTTGCTTTTGTTCTGTGCCATTTTAAGATCACTGTGTTTCATAATTTCTGCTGAACAAGGTAACAGCAACACAGACAAACAAACCAATCAACAAAATTGTGCTTTCAGAGGCTAAAAGAAGCACTGCCAAAACTCAAAATCACAACGCAGTTTGTATTGTGAAGTGAAAAGTTGTTCCCTTGCAACTGTTTACTTAGCATAATCTTACTTGTGAATCCAGTGTCTTCATTTTTCATAGCCTGTAGAGAATTTGAAGCACCATGTTAGTAGACGTGCTTGCCTCAGTGTCTTTTAAGTTTGTTGGAACACATAATGATCATTAGAACTTGACAGTATTTTTCCCTCTTTTTTCATGCTAGTTACTGGTTTTCTAATCTCTGGATATTTATTCCTTCCATTTGTTTTCTTCCCTAACTGCATTATCTGTGCACTTTGGAAAATAATGAGAATCCTAATTGCCAGCATAATTAAAATCTGTTTACCGTTTGCCATAAATCTGTATTCTGTTACCCAGTCTTGACTCTGCTCAGAGTTTAGGTTGTGCCGACTCAGGTTCAGCTGATCTGGTGCCCCGATAGCCAGAAGCAGTAAACTGGCTTTGGAAGAAGGCATGGCTAAAGAGAGCAAGCTCTTGAAGGGTTGAGTGTGAAGAGAAGTTGAAGGTGAAGTTTTATACAACAGTGTCTGAATTATTATCATGTTAATACAGATTCCAGAATTGTGGGAAGGAGAATGTCTATGCGATTAAGTTCCTTATGATTATTAATTTTGAACAGTATAGAATAGGGACTTTCTGTGCTTACTGAAACTTTACCTTGGACTTTCTTTTAATATTAAATGGGTTTAGCTGCTTTTTGATCTACACAGCAATTTTAAATTGATTTAGGGTTATGGTTTAGCATTTAGAGTAGAGGTAGTTTATAATCTCCAGTTTAGTTTGAGGAGCATGAATGTTGATTGTGTGTGAGATTCAGTAGATAAAACATGGAAATATATGTAGGGAACCAAGAAATGAGCGAGTTCGTAATTTTTGTGGCAGAAGTGGTAAGGAACATTGTGATCAGATACAGGAAAAGCTCATTAAGAAGTGGCATCATTGTGAAAGGCAGAGAAAGAGAGATTTAAATTCTGTGTCAGAAAATAGGAAACCAGTGGGAAGCTTTGAAAGGATGGATGATGTGCTGAAGATAAGCAGGGAGGAGATACTTTAAGGATGTCAGTGTCCAGTTCCGAAACACTAGAGAATGGTGGTTTGAGGAAAGCTTGGGCAGAAATCCTTGCCAAAGTCAAGACAGGAGACAGAATCGCAGAGTAGATGTGGTGAGGAAGGAATAAAAATGTGCGCTGAAGGATTTGAGGAACAAATAAGAGGTGGTGTCATGACTAGTTGAAGGAGAGAAGGCAGAATGGATGGAAAATAGGGACTTTATTGCTGTACAGGTTTGGCTCTGTATTGAGTTGACGGGTGCTCATGAACTGTAGGCATGACATGCTTTTACAGTCATCTGGTGAATAGTGTTCAGACTCTGTTGCAGCTTCTGTGG